TTTTTTTTTTTTTTGTTAAGTCTGTTATGGTCAGATAATTAGAAAGTCTTGGTCGTGCCCGTGTATTTGTGCTAGTTCTTGCTCTTTGGAACAAATAATAATAAACTTTGCTGGAGTCGCATTTATTGTTATACATTTTATGGATGATAGTTTTTGACTTGCTGCTCTCAGCTATCTACTCCGAACTCGAATTCGTGAGCTCGATAACTATTGTAAAGTAGTATTCATCAAACACCAAATGACAGAGACACGCGCAGACATTAGACATTTTCTTCATTTGTGGCCAGTTGTATAATTTTAAATTATATGATAAATTAGTGATTAAGCAGGCATAGGACCACTTATTCATCCGTATAGATGGTTGGTTAGAATTCATCTAAATTTGAATCCATGTACCTAAAGTATGTAGGTATTCAATATACATCTTTTATGTGATGTATTCAGTTGTGTCAATTGGTGAAGAGGTATATGATTTGGTTTGGTGTTAAAATAACGAAAATGATGATGTACCTATGATTTGGTTTGGTGTTAAAATAACAATTGGCAAACCTTAGATGCCAAAAACCCAACGACTCAACTTTATTAATTAGAGAAATTTCTACAATTTTATTTATTTATTTTTTTTTTTCCAAACCACATCTGTTTTTTTTTTTTTTTTCAAACCACATCTGTCTCCTATTTGAACAAACCCATAATTTTGTGTCCTATGCATTTATATACAGCCAAGATGTTTCAACGGCCATCATATACTACTACTTATGATTTTTTTACGTAAAAAAAAAAAAGTTAAGTTCTGGACAAAAAAAATACAGAAAAAAGGAGTGGAACAAAATAAAAAACACATATTTTGTAAATACGTTTTTTGCACAGTTTAATTGTAAAACGTAATTAGTGCATACGTTTTTTTTTGTAAAAAAAATTGTAAAACGTATTCACAAAATACGTTTTACAATGAAACTGTAAAGAAAACGTATTTTGTAAATACGTGGTTTTTATGTTGGTCCACTCCCCCCTTTTTTTTTGTTTTTTGTCCACTTGTTCTTTTTTTTTTTAATATATAAATTACTCACTACTTATGATGCACAACTGCAGGATCAAAACCGGTGGGTTTCAAATGCATGATTGTCCCTTAAAACGTTCCACCCCAATTTATCCGTCATAAGTCTCCAAGAAGTGTATCGATTACATGGTCTTAGTGTAAATATCTACTCAAAAGCTGAAACCGTGTTGGGATAAACAAAGCTCGATACCTACAAGTCACAATTTGGGAGTATTAATGATGTAGTGCAGCTTCGAACAAAAGGGAAATAAGAGATGAACTCTCAAAATCTGTATTTTTATTTCAACGATAAACTGTCTTCATAAGAGAGAAGAGGAGAATAAATAGTCTCAAAATCCCTAGGTTTCCTAAACATCCTAAACAAGGGAATAATACTTAAATCACTATTAAGTAAAACATGGAATAATAATAAAAACTAGGAAATAAATAACTAGACTAAAGAAGGCATCCGATTGTATTTCTGCATAAACGCCATTGCGATCTCGTCTCCTTCATCCTCCCTCGGTTGGGAAAGATTCGCCCTCGAATCCGGATCGATCTCGTCTTCGTCCGAATTATCACCCAAAAATGGCACGAGATGCTTAACATTAAACACATCAGAGGTCCTCAAGTGCGACGGAAGCCGGAGGCGGTAAGCATTCTGGTTGATCTTCTCAACAATCTCAACCGGGCCAATCTTGCGAGCCGCTAACTTGCTGTAGTCATGCGCTGAAAAACGGTCCTTGGTGAGTACAGCCCAAACAAAATCCCCGACTTCGAACTCTACGTGACGGCGACATGAATCAGCCCGCTTTTTATAGGCCGCCGTCACTTTCACCAAAAGCGCCCGGGCCGCGTCCTGAGTCCGCCGGAGGTCACCCATGAAGTCCTCGGCACGGCGGTCGGAGCTCTCGGACGAAGGAAGGGCGATGAAGTCCGCGGCGCACCGTGGTCGAGCCGCGTAGACCACCTCAAAAGGAGAAAACCCGATAGCGCGACTCAAAGCCGAATTGTGAGCAAATTCGGCCTGGCCCAACTTCTGATCCAAACTACGCAAAATTCTCACCCACGAGACAACGCAACAAATTCCCGAGGGAACGATTCACGACCTCCGTCTGACCGTTAGTCTGTGGATGGTAAGCACTACTGAACTCCAATTTCGTGTCAGCCAGGCGCCATAAACTACGCCAAAAATGGCTAAGAAAGCGCGTGTCGCGGTCAGAAACAATAGAAGTCGGTAGACCATGCAAACGATACACCTCGCAAAAGAAAAGCTGAGCCACGTGGACGGCGTCGGCCGTTCGTTTGCACGGAATGAAATGGACCATCTTCGAAAAACGATCGACAACCACAAATATAGAGTCATGACCCCGCTGGGTCGGAGGCAGGCCCAACACGAAATCCATGCTAATAGCACTCCACGGACGAGTGGGAATAGACAAGGGCCGATAAAGCCCGGCGTTAGAAGCCACTCCCTTGGACACCTGACAAACACGACATCTCTCCACAAAATTGAGAAACATCACGACGTAAAGAAGGCCAGAAAAAAAAAACGACGTACCAATGCGATGGAGCGATCACGCCCCACGTGCCCAACCCCATGCAACTCAGCCACTACCTTAAGGCGAAAGCTACAATCAGGAACACACAACTGAACCCCACGAAACAAAAACCCATCAGAGAGAGCATAATCCTCAAAAAGACACGAAGAGAGACGCGACAACACGGGCCCGAAGAAAGCATCAGAAGCATAAAGATCCTGCAACAAATCAAAGCCGACAACCAAGACTCGCATGTCAGTGAGCAACAAAGAGCGACGGCTCAACGCATCCGCAACACGGTTAGAAGAACCCGAGCGATGCTGCAGAACGAAGGTAAATTGCTGCAAATAAGAGGTCCATGTCGCGTGGCGGGCCGAAATATTGTCCTGAAAAGAAAGATGGCGCAAAGCCTCGTGGTCGGTAAAAAGGATGAACTCACGCTGAAAGAGATAGTGGCCCCAATAACGAACAACACGATAAACAACATAAAAATCAACATCATAAGTGTTGTACCGCAAGCGAGGACCCGACAACTTCACACTGAAAAAGGCTACGGGGCGCCCATTCTGACTAAGAACGACACCAACGCCCACCTTAGAAGCGTCACACGAAAGCTCGAAAGGGACAGAAAAGTCAGGAAGAGCCAAAACCGGAGCGGACGTAAGCTTACATTTAATAAGGTCAAAAGCCTTCGCAGCCTGTGGCGTCCACGCGAACGTCTTGTCGTGAAAGCAGTCCGTAATCGGGGCAGTAATGGTACTGAAGTGGGAGATGAAACGCCGATAGAAAGAGGCTAAGCCGTGGAAGCTACGAGCCTCCGTGAATGAAGTTGGCGTGGGCCACTCGCGAATAGCTGCGACCTTACCCTCATCAACGCGAATGCCATCAGCCAAAATAAAGAAGCCCGAAAAAAGAACCTAGTCGACGACAAAAGAACACTTCCGGGGCACTGCGAAAAAACACTCAGCTCGTAAAATCTGAAGAACGGATCGAACATGGGTCAAGTGGTCCTCCACCGTCCGACTAAAGATAAGAATATCGTCGAAATAAACGATGACACAACGCCCAATAAGGTCCCGCAAAGCCTGGTTCATCACGCGCATGAAAGTACTGGGTGCATTCGACAGTCCGAGAGGCATCACAAGCCACTCAAAAAGACCCTCACGGATCTTAGAAGTAGTCTTCCATTCGTCGCCCGGCCGGATTCGAATCTGATGATAGCCACTCCGAAGGTCCAACTTGGTAAAGACTGCAGCCCCATGCAACTGGTCCAATAGATCGTCAAGGTGTGGAATAGAAAATTGGTAACGGACAGTGATCTTGTTAATGGCCCGACTATCCACACACATCCTCTATGAATTGTCCTTCTTCGGGATGAGTAAAGCGGGAACAGCACACGGGCTCAAACTACGCCGAACAACACCACGTTGCAAGAGTTCCTCCACCTGGCGACATAGCTCCTCATGTTCTGTTGGGCTCATCCGATAATGGGGGCGGTTTCGCAGCGAGGCACCCGACACCAAATCGATCTGATGTTGGATGTCTCGAAGCGGTGGAAGGCCTGAAGGAAGCTCTGCCGGGAAAACATTAGAAAACTCATCAAGGGGCGGTCGGATAATGGGTGGAGGGGACCCATAGGCGCCAATGTCAGTCCCCAAAAGTAATAGGACAAATGGCGCCGTCTGCATTTCGCCCACAAAAGCTGCACGAGAGAGAAAAAGAACCGAAGAGGAATTATCAGTAGATAAAGAGCGAAGAGGGGAAGGATGGATTACCAGCCGAACGCCCTCAAATAAAAAACTGTAAGTGTTGAGGCGCCCTTCATAGACCACAACACGATCAAACTGCCAAGGGCGGCCCAGCAAGAGATGACACGTGTCCATAGGAACAACATCACACCACGCCGTGTCTCTGAACTTAGGCCCGATAGAAAATTGCACCAACACTCGTCGGTCCACAGTAATGGAGTGTATCCAAGCAAGAGTATAGGGGTGGGGATGTGGCTCGATAGACAATTTAAGGCGATCAAC